GCCTGTGAGGGGCAGAGGGCAGGCTTCTGGAGTCCACTAACACTCCATGCCGCATTCAGGTGCAGCTATAGAAGTGTGCCATACACCTACGACTGGTGCATTTCATTACCACATATGTTACACTTCCATTTTTTAAAAAAAGTACGTCTTCTTTTAAAAGCAAAGGGCAGGGCCAGCACGTTGCACAGTGGTTGGAGGTACTAGACTCCCACATGGCCAACGGCGGTTCGAGTCCAAGACTTGGTTGCTTGTCTTCTCACTTTCTTTCTCTCTCTTACTGTCTCTCTCTGGTCAAATATCAAATAAATAAATAAATAAATAAAGTTAAATAAAATCATCCTTTTTAAAAACAAAAAAAGGGCTAGGGTGGCCTCGTAGTGCAGTGGTCAAGTGCTGAGCTCTGGGAGCCGGATCTCACATGACCAGCTGGGCTTCAAGTCCCGGCCCTACTGGCTTGGGAAACATGCCCAGAGCATGTGCGCACATGCCCCAAACCCTGAGGGGAAGGAGAAATGGAAGAAAGGCCTGCAGGCATGACCACACACACCCCCGCCCCGGGGTTGCTTTCCCTTTCTCTTACATATACGCACACATTTTCTGGCACTTTTCTTTAAAAGAAAAACAAAGCAAAATTCAAGATAGTGGTCACCCCTGGAGGAGAGACGGGGAGGGCCGAGGAGAGCCACACGCTGCTTCAGATTTGCACGCACAGCCGTGCCTGGTTTGTATGTACCAAGTGCCACGTCGAACGCCAATGCACGATCATTTTAGAAAAACAAATTCGAATATTTACAACCCATGTGGTGAACTCTGGAAGAATTTTTAAAGTAAGATTAATACAGACGGCGCTCACTGGCTTTAACTACAGGAAGACAACGGCGTTCATTTAACAAGTGCCCTCCCAGCACCCGCGTGATTGCTCCCTCCCGGGGCACTCGGTGTGAGGCAGAGCCGTGAGGACGTAGGCAGTGCCGGTGCGCGCTGTCTGCGGCCCCGTGGTGACTGCTTTACACGCATCTAATTGTCATGGAGCCCTGTGAGGCCCGTGCTGCTATCACCCCAATTTAACAGATGGGGAAACACACACGAGGAGTTCAAGTGATTTGCCGTGGCCTCACAGAGGGCTGGCGGCGGGGCAGCGTCTGCAGCCTGGTTTAAATCGCAGTCTGCCTCGGAAGCCTGCTCGCTCCAGCTCTGCACAGTCTGCCTCATCTCGTGTACGGAGCATGCCCCACTTCTGGCAGCTCCCAGCCAGGCCCCCGGTGTCTGAGGATGCCCGAAATGGAACCCCAGAGCATGCATACACCTGCCTCAAACAGAGGGGTGTCCGTCATTATGATGACGATAAATGACACGGCCATTACTGCCAATAACAATAACCATTAAGCCCACGCTGTACTAAATTGCAGAGTATATTAAAAAGTTGCTGCGACTGAACAGTGAGCATGGCTCCTCATTTAGATTCTCACTAAGGAACCTGACCAATCACCTCCTCTCTGAACTCTCTCCCACCCTGTCCTGGCTGACAGCACCTGCCTCACACAGCGATAGAGTTATTCATGACCTGTGTCTGCTCTCTCCGCAGGAAGGTGGGATTTGTTTCGGACTGTTCTCTGCCTCTTTGTGTGCATGTACTTAGATGCGGGAGGTGCTTAGCCAATACCTGCACGAGGCTCACAGATGTGAGAAATAAATAAACATGCGACCAGGCACCCAAGTTCTTCGCAAGAGCTCCCACAGACCCCTGCCCTGCCCACCTGTTCGGGGCTGCATACCTGAGACTTGGAACGTGCCTGTGAGCACGTGCTACATGCCGACTCTGGAAGAAGGGATGGAAGGAGGGACGCAAGAGGATTCCTGCACTTCATGAATACCTGCATGTGCTCCTCGTCTCTGAAAGGGCCTGCCAACCCCTGGGACGGGCAAATGTCTATGAGCTTCGAGGGGCAACAATATGCCACTGCCCTGAAGGACCTCGATGATCAACGCGGGGATGCACCTCCGACAGAGGCAGAGAGAGCCCTTGAGAGAGCCCCAGGGGGAGGCAGCAGCCCTGGCCTAATGCGGGATTCGGGATTCTCAGCCACCAGTTCCCACCACACTTGCGGGAGGATTGGGGTGACAGCAAGGCTCTCCAGCATGTTCACGAATTTTCTTTTTCCTCAATCGAAGATGTGATTTATCCAAGTGTCTGAAAACCTTCTGCAACAGACAGTGTTCTTAGACAGACGCAGGGGTCTGGGCAGTGGGGCGCTCGCTGCCATGCTGTTCTCCGCAAACTGCACACCTAATAGAGACCCAGGGAGGGAGGCAAGTTGATGTCCCATCCCGGCCCAGCCCCAGCGGAGCATCGAAATAAACGGCAGCTCCACCCCGCGAGCGGCTGGCCCACGAAAGTGCAGGAGAACTGGCTGCTGATAGACAGTTCAGAAGTGCTCCCCACAAAAGTGGATGTCTGTTTTTACAGAGCCGGGTCAGAACTCCTACAGAAACAGCCACACTCGACACTGATTCTAGCCCAGGGAACATGGGTCCCAGGTTCCACATGACTGGGAGGCTCCCAGGACCAGGTTGCTGTGCTGGGGTTTCCCTGGGTAGCGAGGTTCACGGCAGGCTGGGCTGTGACATGTCCCTTCCTCAGTCTCCCCCGCTCCACGCCATAGCTCAGTTTGATCGGGAAATCCCTATAGCGAAGGGAGTCATGTGCAGGCCCTTTAAAATGCAGGCTATATCAGGAGGCTGCGTGAGCTGTGCCCTGAGGCCCCTCTGGAACAGCCTTTCAGGGCAGGACTGTTCTGTCCTTCCATTCAGAAGCATGCCTGTTCTTCTAGCAGAATGCATGACTCTGGCCTCCCTCCGTCTTCACCTCCTCCCCCAGGCCCTCCCGCTTGTCCTGTCTCCGGCTACCCATGCTTCTTCCTGTCTGCAGTGCAGCAGGGAAGCCAGGAGCTTGCTCTCAGGAGCAGAAAGAACCCACAGAGCAACCCATGGCTCATGAGCAATGCCCTGGAGCAGAGCACTCCGGGGGACGCGCACCTGAAACCGCCAAGCCCGACGCTCTGGTCCAGCGCCCCTTCACGCCGTCTGATTAGGGAAGGTCCGATTCTGGTCATCACGCGGGTTGGGGCCCGACACGGCATCACTCAAAGCCCTGAGCTTCTGGCCCCTGCCCACCACTGTCCTGGCCCATGTGACCTGGCAGGGGGAGGGGGTGCTGCCATGGGCTGGGAGGAGAGCTGGGGACACTGGCCTGGCAGGACCTCTGTCCGACCCTGAGCATTTCAGAGCCCTCCTGTCCCCCAGTGTTCGCACAGAGTGTGTCACCAGCACCTGACCCCTGCCAGCCACCCCACCTTTGTCCTTTCCCTGGGCTCCTCCCTCTCTCTCTCTCTCTCTCAGTCTCTCTCTCTCTCTCTCTCTCTCTCTCTCGGTGCGCCTTCGCCATGGCCCTCTGGGCACTCTGGGAAACGCCTGAGTGCAGCCGTCTGGTTCTGCCACCGCTTTCATCCCGATCCAGGTGGCGACACTCCAGTGCAGGATTTACGCTGCCCTGACCCTGAGCCGTCAGGAGGGAACAGCCAGATTAATGGGGTGGGCGGGCCGGGGTAATAATCGTTTGTTTGATGTGACAGGCCTGATAGGCGTTGATTTACTTACAGACTGATGGGCTTTTAATTGAGCGCCTCCACCCCAGTCACTTCAAAGGCAGGGGAAGTTGACAAGGGGCCCCTTTCAGGAGGCTTCCCCTGACTGACAGGCCCCCTCTGCCCAGGCTCCCAGGACTGGCCAAGCTGCAGGGTTCTGTGTAAGTCTGACACGGCCTTTGTGCTGCCACGGAGGGCAGGGGAGAGTGGGACGCTGGCACTGCCCCGGGGAGGGGCGGCGCAGGGGGCAGGCCACCTCCATGTGGGCTCCTTCCCTCCTCTTCACTTCCTCCTGCTGCTCACTCCCTCCTGCTCACTCCCTACCACCTCTGCCTCCTTCCTCTCACTTCCTTACTTCCTCCTCACTTCCTATCACTTCTCTCTTCCTCCTCCTTCTCACTTCCTCCTACCACTACTACTCTCTTCCTCCTCCTCACTTCCTCTTCCTCCTCACTTCCTCCTCCTCACATCCTCCTATGGCTCACCCCTCCTTCCCCTCATATCTCTTACACCTCCTCACATCCTCCCCCTGCTCCTTTCCTCCTCCTCCTGCTCACTTCCTCCTCCTTCCCCTCACTTCCTCCCTCTTTTTAAACACTCTTTTCCCCTTGCCTCTCTGAGCTCCAGGCCCCTTCCTCCTCCTCAGTTCTCTTCCCGAGCCCTCTTTTTCCTGCCTGGCCTGTGAACACCACTCCCCTCCTCCTGGGCAGTCACCCTTCCCCAGGCTGCAGGCTGCGGGCCCTTCAGGCCAGGGCACCCTTAGACTTGGCCTGGCCTCCGTGAAGGGGCCACCCTCCCAGGGGCAACACCTCAATCAACGGGCCCGCAGACCTCCACACTGGAGGCCCGGGGTGCAAGGCCAGTGGGATTTCCATCCCTTTCCTGTCTGGTCTAGAAAGAAGATACTGTGATGATACAAGGGGTCTTCAAAAAGTTTATGGAAGATACACGCTGTGAAAAACTATGTATGGATTTCAATCTTTTGCACCAAAATTAACTCACTTTTTTTGGGGGGGGAGGTTTTTGCTATAGGGCGTGTGCACTCGCCAGACAGAGAGAGACAGAGAGACAGAAAGCGAGAAATCACCCCCCAGGGGGGATGGTCATGCCGCAATCCCTTCTCCTCCATTCTCCTCTCGGGATCTTGGGCACGCACACACACGCACCCGGCGTGAGTTTTAAGCCACCGAGTCCGGGACACGAACCGCGGTCGAGTACGTGGGAGTCCAGCGACATAGCCATTACGCTAACTGCTGGTCCCAAAATTAACTCACATTTTAATTTCACTTTACAATAAACTTTCTGAAGTCCCCTCACATGGTTTTATTCTGTTTGAACTTCAGAAAAAAATTTTAGGGAGGTTCCATCAGAAGGGATTTATTTTGGTTTTGTTTTATTTAAGTCCTGATTTATTGACTGCTAAACTTTTCCTATGTGGAGAAGATAAGTCCAAATTTGCTTTTTGGTTTTTGTTTTGCTTTGTTTAGATTTTCACTATAGGGTGCACGTGTTCACAGGGGAGAAAGGGAAAGTGGAAAATCACCCTGTAGAAACGGCCGCGCCACGGCCCCTTCTCACCCACTCTGCTTTGGGAGGTGGGGCACCCGTGCATATGCACCCGGCATTTTTTTAAGCCACCAGGTTTTGGACTCAAACAGGTGTGTAGTTGGCAATGTGGGATCCAATGCCTTAACCACCACACCACCAGCTGGTCCCCAGGGCTCTCTAACACTGTCCCCTTGTTTCCTAGGCTGGAACCCTGAACTCTAGAAGAGGGGCCATCTAAAGTAGCCCCCAAACTTCCTCACTGGGTGGGACGGGCAGAGGCGGGGCAGCGAGACTCCTGGCCAGGAGGAGCTTCGAGCTCTGAGTCAAGTCCCTTTGGTGAATGCCTGAGACTGCGCTGTCCCCTCCCCCATGTCCTCTCTCTCCCTTGCAGTGACTTGTCCCCACACCCAGCCAGAACCTGGCTAGGAAGACGGCAATGGTGGCTTATCTTCATATCGTCACCTCGCGTGCAAGGCACCGTCACACGCTGCCATCATCGGCCTTGATCAGCGGCACGGTGGTGAGTCTGACACTCGTGTGCTTTAGCAGGTGACAACACTAAGGCCCGACAGGTAACGTGCTGCCGAGAGGCAATATCCTCGCTCCGGTCGGCCTCCTCCTCGTCCCTGCATCCCCATTGCTGTCCGAGTCCCTTCTTCAGGTGGTTTCTTTCTTCCGTGAGCAAGACAGAGACAGAGCCAGCAGAGTCCTGGGTCACGGGAGCGTGCACCCAGCACCTCAGGCAGGTCTCTGGTCGTGACAGAGACGTGCTCCCAGGGCAGCTCCTGCGTGGGACTGCCCACAGAGTCCTCTGCCCCACCTTCGCCCAGCCTCGTCGGCCCAGCTTCGTGGCACATGCCAGTTGATGCTGCTCCTCGGCTAGCTGAGGCCGGGGGAGATCCAAGTTTGACTCCCAGCACACCCAACTGCTCCAGCTACATGGCAGAGTCAGCCCACAGAGAGCCTCAGTCCTTAAAAAAAAAACGGGGACCAGCAGATAGCATAACAGTTACATCGCTAGACTCCCTCATAGTCGACCACGGTGTGAGTCCCAGACCTGGTGGCTTAAAACTCACGCCGGACACACGTGTGTGCCAAAGACCCTGAAAGGAGAATGGAGGAGGAAGGACAGTCGTGCAGCCATCCCCCTGGGGGTGTGATTTCTTATTCCCTGTCTCTCTGGCAAGCACATACCCTATACCAAAAATCTCTCTTAAAAATACAAAGATATGGCCACAGGGAAGAGTCCTGCTCGTGGTTCTGTGCTATGGAGAATGTTCCCAGTGAAATGATTCAGGGACGACCCTGGGAAAATCAACCCACAGACTCCTTGAGGGCCCAGGAAACGTGTCTCTCCTGGCCTGCTGGAGGGGCAGGTCCTACTGCAGAGTGGGGCCCAGGGCTGCAGCTGAAGGGAAATGTGCCACCCCTCCCACCGGGGCTGTGTGCCACCAACGAGCCATGTGCTGGGCGTTCCCACTGTGCACGCGCTGGCCCTCCCTGGATGGGCCGGGCCTGCAGGACAGTACCTACCTCACATCCCACAGCACCCAGTGGTGACGTGTTTGCTCGAACGTCCACCGTGAGCTACTTACTGAAAGGCCACACAGGTGCCCAGGGTCACACCCCACCCTGCCAGGTGTGGCCGTGGACAGTCAGGGTCTGTGCCTTGGTCTCCTCCTCTGTAAAGAGCGACAAAAACTATGCCAGCTGAGGAGCATCTTGTGAGACCGAGTTAATGCCTTCCAGCTAATCCACAATGCAGCTATTTCAGATCCAAAAGAAAGGAAAAAGTGCTGCTAAGTAACCCGTGGCTCTGAGTTTTTAAATCAGTGTCGATACAGTAAAATGAGAAAAGTGCATCTCAGCGTTGATTAACCAGGTCGAGGTAGAACACTCAGACCTACAGCCGGCACCGGCGAGCAGGCAGTGAGCACGCCCACCCATGCAGCGAGTCTTCACGAGCACCCGGCTCTGAGGGAGTCTGTCTTCATGTCACAGATGAGGAAACAAATTCAGAGAGGAAGGGCCTGGCCAGCCCGCACGGCCCCTGAGCCCTCCACCCGCCTTGCAACCTGCCTTTGAGGCACAGCGGCTACTGCGGGAGCTGGCAGGCGCCCGGGAGTGGGGGCTCGGTTCCCGTTTCGTTCTCAGTGGCATCGCCTGCCTGACCCACAGCTCGCCCTCTGGGTGACCACTCTCCTCCCGCTCCTGTCCCAGCTCTGCTCTTTTCAGCTCCCTGTCAACAGCTTCCGGTTGTACTGGCCCTGCGTTTGAATTGTAAGTGACTTCGAGGGGTATAAATAAATACAGAGGTAACAACTGGCCTTTAAGGACGATGCACAGCAAGTCTAAGTGGAGACAAAACGCCCGTGATCACCCTGGGGCTGCGTCGTCGCTGCAGACACCGGGGAGCTTGGGAGCACCCTCTCCCTCCAGTGCAGAAAAGCCATGTCACCATGCTTAGCCTCAGAGCCAGAGCTGCTAGGACACACTTAATGGCCTCCCTTGACCCTGGGGGCAGCCTGGGACCGTGGACCATGGCTGCCGGGGGCCCTGAAGGAGGCCCGGCCGTAAAACACTACGTTCTGGAAGGCAATCCTACATGGGAAGGTCCCTGGTTCGAGTGCCAGGGCCTCCTGGGACATCCCAGGATGTGCTTGCTAATCCAGGCTGCTGAGACAGATGTGGATCGTGCCACTAGGACCCATTTGGGGTTCTCTCTCTCTTACTCATTCACTGGACAAAAAGATAAATAAGCTTAAAAAAAAGATAATGAGGGAACCAGCAGTTAGCGTAATGGCTATGTCGCTGGACTCCCGTGTAGTCGACCGCGATTCACATCCCGGACCCGGTGGCTTAAAACTCACGCCAGGCGCGTGTGCGTGCATGCCCAAGATCCCGAGAGGAGAATGGAGGAGGAGGGATTGCGGCGTGACCATCCCCCCTGGGGGTGATTTCTCGCTTTCTGTCTCTATGTCTCTCTCTGTCTGGCTGGCGAGCGCAGGCGCCCTATAGCAAAAACCTCTCAAAAAAAAAAAACAAAAAAAGATAATGAATAAAATATGGCACGTTATTTTTCCCTTCACGAGCAGGGTGCCGTGGGCTGATAAGAGGGTATACTTGTGAACTTGCGTGTGTGTCTCAGGGTGGCTCCAGAGTGACAAAGTGGGAGGGTAGTCTCCAAAACTTCTCCCAAGCTCGCCACATAAGCTTGCTGTCTGAGTCAAGTGCAGAGCTGAAGGCTGGGGAGGGGAGGGTTAAAGCAACAATTGTGGGGCCAGCAGGTGGTGTGGAGGGTAAGGCTTTGGACCCCACATGGCCGGCTACACGGTATGAGTCCTGGACCTGGTGGCTTGAAAATCATGCCAGGCACATATGCATGTGTGCTCAAAATCCTGAGAGGAGAATAGAGAAGGGACTGTGGCATGGCCACCTCCCCGGGATGTGATTTCCTACTCTCTCTCTGTGTGTGTGTGTGTCTGGCAAGCACATGCACCCTATAGCAAAAGCTAAGTAATAATAAGTAAACAACACAAACGATTGTACTAGCGAGCTTTGCCATGGGAAGGAGGGAGACTGTGCCAACCCTCAGCACCCCGAACAGAGCCCACGGTTTTTCCAGGACTGAATCAAATGCACTCTAGGCTCAGACCATCAGACAAAGAGAAAGAGATTAGCAAGAGAGCGGAGGGTGAAGTAGGAGCGCGGCTCCTCATAAGGACCATGCAGTTCATCTCGACGTCTTCCCAGAAAGGAGCCACACGCCGAATCCCTCCCGACTGTCTGCACCTGCACCTCCTGTGCAATAATCCTCTTAATGGAATATTAAGAAATCGGATATAAATCAGCAGCCTTTCATCTCACCTGCAGACTCCTCACCATAGGACTTCCTGTGCCTGTCTCCACGCAGACGGTCACAGGTGCCTTCTGGACTGGACGTTGCCATGTTCTTAGGCGTGATCTGCTTTTCAGTCTTGAAACCTCTGTTTTTGCTGGGGACATACGTGCAAAAGTATACATTTTAGAGCTCAGCACTCAGGGGACAGATGCACCTAGAGACATTTCCAAATTAAAACACGCAACCCCCAGAACACCCATTGTGTCACTCTCAACCAGTAAAACTGCCTATTGTCTCGCTGCACTCATAAATAACTTGATTTCGGCATATGCTTTGGTACCAAACAGAAAATAAATAAATTAAATGTGATTTACAACCCTTTTCATTTTTATTAGCGCTGCTCTGAAGAGTTTATGTAAGGGACGTGCCAAAGCGGTTACGCCAAGTGTTTTAAGGCGTTGGTATTGATATTATATAAATTAAGGTGTTTTAATTTGCATTCTTTAATTAACTAAATACTGGCAGAAAAATAAAGCACGAGGGCAGCCCTGACTTATTGCCGCTGTTAAACTGCTGACATCTCCAAAAAGATGCTTTAAGTAATCCGATCCATGCGGGGGTGGGGGGAGGCGGATATTAACACTCTTTATGTGGCAAAATATATTGGGGTTTCCGAAACCAATATCCTGGGGGCCAGATGGAGGTGCGGCGGTAAAATGCACGTTCTCCAACGTGGTCCCACATGGGAAACTTCCTGGTTCAAGGCCGAGGACCCTCCGAGTACACCAGGCACACATGTGCCCATGAGCCGGGACTGGCTGAGGCTGGGGGAGGATCATGGGGCGAAGACCCTGTAATGGGTGCTGTCTCTCAGTCTTGATAAATAAATAGACTGGGAAGAAGAAGGAGGAGGAGCAGGAGGAAGAAGAAAGAAGAAGGAGGAAGGAGGAGGAAGAAGAAGGAAGAAGAAGCAAAGAGGAGGAGGAGGAGAGGAGGGGAAGGGAGGGGAGGGGAGGGGAGGAAAGAGAGGAAGCCAGGTGGCACAGCGGTTGGGGAGGCAGATCCCACATGGCCGGCTCCACCACTCAAGTCCTGGACCCAGAGGCTTGAAAGACACACAGGACGCATATGCATACCTGTCCAAAATCCCGACAAGAGAATGGAGAAGGGACTGCAGCATGGCCTCTCCTTTGGGAAGGTGCTTTCTCGCTTTCCCTCTCTCCTTGTATCTTCCTGTGTGTCTTTTTTCAGCGAACCTACTCGCCCTATGGCAAAAATCTAAAAACAGAAAAGAAAGACCCTTACCCTGCTTTGCCTGCCTCATAGGAAGAGGGTGAGTATATTCCAAGGTTTGAATTTGTGTCCCCAAGGAAGGAGTTGACCAAGTGCTTTAACCTCTATCCTCTATCCTGCTGGGTCTGGGCTCAAGAGTTACTGGACATGAGAGGCCTGGCACCAGGCCCTGGAGACCAGCACGGACTGCCTCTGCCACCCAGGGCCCCGCCACTGCCAACCCAGTTGAGCAGACCCCATAGCAACACGATCATTCCAGAAAGCAAGGAGAGAAAGAGGAAGAGCCCATCGGGGAAGTCGGCTGCTTCTGTCCATTCTCCCCATCACACCTGAGCCCCCAAACCACACACGCAAAAAGAGAAACCTTTGTAAAAACGAGGTGCCCAGTTGCTCCAGATCCTTCCGAAACCCTGGTCCTGTCATGGCTGCAGACGGCTTTCCAGTTCCCCAGCTCAGGGGAGACGACTTCTCTCCAGGCGAGCTGCACTCCTTCTTCCCCCCTCGCCCTCTTTCATCCTTGGTTTTGCTCTCTGGGCCTCCACCTGCAGGGTCAGAGGAAACCTGGTAAGGTCTCTCCGTCTGCAGACTTCCCTCCTGGCCTCCAGGAGGAGCAGCTCCATGAAGATGGCAGCTCCCAGTCGTCCGCCATAGCAAAGTGACAGCCCTCAGGCGCAGGCTGAGAAAACGGCACCTTCCCTCCCCTGAGCCCGGGCGTTCCCTGGCCGTGCCCAGAGCACCTGTCCTACACCCTCCACCTGGCTGGCCTGGGAGCACAGGTCAAGGGCAGGGACCTGGAGGCCTCATAGGTACCTATTGCTATGCTCTGTCCTCAAGCCCCAAAACTTCGTGTGCTGACATTTGGTTGTTAAGGTTGAAAGTGAAAACTGAGTACCTCTACGGAGTCGAAAGGTAGGGCCTGTGGGAGTCATCAGTGGTGGTAGGGGGGTGACTGAGTCCTGGGGGTTCATGAGGAGAGGGAAGGAGACTGGACACACAGGGATGGACACCAGGCCCTGCTCCCCCTAGCCCATGCAGCGTGATGCCTCGGGACCCTGCAAGACCACCAGGCCATGGACCTCCAGACGCTGGATTGAATAAATCCCTCTGTCTTAAATCAGGCACACCAGTGGGAACCAGCAGTTAGCATAATGGCTATGTCGCTGGACTCCCACGTAGTCGACCGCAGTTCACGTCCCGGACCCGGTGGCTTAAACTCACGCCGGGCAAGTGTGCGTGCATGCCCAAGATCCTGAGAGGAGAATAGAGGAGAAGGGATTGTGACATCACCACCCCCCCTGGGGGGTGATTTCTCGCTTTCTGTCTCTCTGTCTCTCTCTGTCTGCCTGGCGAGCGCATGCACCCTATAGCGAAAAACCTCTCCAAAAAAAAAAAAAATTAGGCACCAGGTATTTTTTCTGTTCTTAGCAGACAAAAAAAAAAAATTAGGCACACCAGGTATTTTCTGTTCTTAGCAGACTAAAGACACCTGTTCAACTAGAGCAGTGCCTGGGGGCTCAGGGGCCCCTCTCCTGGTGGCTGGGGGCTCAGGGACCCCTCTCCTGGGT